TCAACTACACAACTTCTGCATATGAAAATGGATATACTGAGTATTCTTCATCCCTTGTAATAGAATAAGTGGGTTTGAAAAGTTTATTGTACCATCTGCATCCCCTTCAATTAATCTCTTGGCCTCCATCTGTTTAGTCTTTGCACTTTCCCAGCCACTTGATTTCTTCTAATTGATCATATAATCTAGAGAATGGCTTTATCTCACATGTTTAACATATGCAAATTAGGTGTTCCACATAGAAATCAGTGTGTGAGATGGGTGTTTCAGTCCTCAGCATGTCAATACAGTCAGTGAGGTCAGTACAGTTAGTGGCTAATGTTGACACCTACTTTAGAGCCAATTGCTTCCTACGCTCCTCTGACTGCTGTTTATTAGCTTGGACACCCACAGAACTTGCATGAAGGAACTTGTATGTAGGTATGTGACTCTTCTTGGGCACAGGCTTCAGTTGCCTAAACACAGGGCACTTGTATTATTTTGAGCACACTCAAGTGTCCTCCTTGGTCTATAGATTCTCCTTAAAAAGGCACTGCTGTCCCGCTGATCCCCATCTTGTATCTGCCAACCCACATCATGGATCTGCATGTGCCAGGGCACTCGAATGGCACTAGGCATGCATAGTTAGACAGATTAATCCTATCCCACATCTCGCTTCTTATTCCATGGACATTCATTTCATTCACTTGATGGAACAACTGGGAAAGGAGAAACCAATGCTCGGTGACCATCCAGCTATGTACTGACCATGGTGAAAAATTCTTCAGGCTTTGTGGTAACAATGCAGTACAGTTTTGATAATAGGTGGGCAGGAAGAACCCAAGAAGGGCTGGATTAAGGAAACACGAAGTTGTTATTAGACATGGTCGCTGCAACATACTTAGCAAAGTCCACTTGCCAGTGGAAAGTGGGGATCTTTTATCTCAGCGATTTCCTTGCTGTTATATACAACAGCTGTTGCACCATATTTTGTTGTGAAGAAAGGAAAGGCTAAAAGGGAGGAAACGCCCACTATTCTAGGAAAGAATGGAATGAGATTTGATATGGAAAAAGAAGAAAAAACACAACAAAAGCTATCGGGAAGAACATCTGGAAGCAAAGTGAAATGTGAAAACAATGGAAAATGCTTTTGAAATCCAAAAGCAAACTACATCCAGGTTGCAGTCTAGAATAAGGGGAAATCCATATAGAAAAAAAATTCACCTCTTTCTCTGATTTTTTTTGTTTTGTTTTATGAAGATGTTTTATTAAGATGATGGAGTTTTATCCTCTCTAGTCGCTTGGCCTGATGAAGGGTTATGAATCAGCTTAAACCACTGCATTAACAGAACTGCATCAAGGTCGTTGGGCCTCACATTTCTACAGGAAAGCTTGCAGTCAATGGTGACTTGATCAGCAGTGCAAGGTGTTTATTATCCATAGGAATAACATATTCTTCTGTCTCCCACACTGCACAGGGCATACATTATGGTACCAGCACTCCTTGGAAGAACATCAGCTTAAGCTCTTTTTATTAAAGTTCACACGTACAGTTAGGCCATTAGTTAAGTGACGTCAAACAGATATTGAAGGCACTAAATGACTGAGAAGTGTCTGTGCTGCAAATTAGTCTTCTAGAAATTTGCATGCTTCCTACCCATGTGCCTATGAATCAAACTGTCCCTGTGCTTAAGATATGCCTGAAATTTACAGAGCAGTCAGACTTCTGCTCAGAAGCTGTGCCTAGGCTTGCAGATAAGTGGCAAATCAGGACAGATGAGCAAACCCTTCAAAATGTAACATATCTAGGTGTAAAAGAAGATGTGTTTGAGAAAGCTCCACTTTCTTTCTGTGCACACTGGCATTGAATTTTGGGACAGATGAGATGAGCAAACCCTTTAAAATCTAACATATCTAGGTGTAAAAGAGGATGTGTTTGAGAAAGCTCCATTCTCTTTCTGTGCACACTGGCATTGAATTTTCCTGCACATCTCACCAGATACTTCTGGTGACTTCTGGTCACATTTACCTAGTATGTTTTGGATTAAAGAAGCACAAAACTGATATTAGATGTGGTCTCTGCAACTTACTTAGCAAAGCCTACTTGCCAGTGTAAGGCAGGGATCTTATCTCAGCTATTTCCTTGCTCTTATCTATAACAGTTGTTGCACATCTCACCAGATACTTCTGGCAACTTCTGGCCCTACTTTCTTTCTTTCTTAGTTCTCTGCCAGTGATGATGTGTGATCCGTCAGGCCACCCAGGTCAAAGTGATGAGTCTTTAACTAGTAGTAGTTATACAAAGTGGGGACTGTTTCTGTGCTTCTCACACACAGGACAGCTGATTTGACCGGTTGATTTACCTCTAAGAGTAGTTCACTACATGAAAGTGGAACAAGTCACCTAAAGTTTTCATATCCAGAGATAGGCATTTAAAGCCCAGATACTTCAGGTATGTGCTGCAGACATTTTATTTGCTGCGTTAGGGCAACTTGGTAATTTTATTTAAACAACTGATTAAAGGAGCTGTGATTTCATATGCCAGTTATTTCATATAGTGATGAAAGTTTCCCAGCCTCGGTGGATAGTTTGGGTAGCTACTTTGGATTTTGCGTTGAGGAAGGTGAGGTAGCTTCCGTTTCCATATCTTCATTTTCATGAGCTCTCATGTGGGACTGTATTTTCACTAAGCCAAAATACATGTCTCAGACCTTACCTAGATTGTTGCTTTCATATATTTCTTTCTTAATTTATTCTCCATTTATTCATCCAGATTGTGTTTCTTCTGCAAGACCTATCTTTTTGGACTTGAGTAAAAGCTCCATTTCACTTGAGCCTCCTGTAATTTAATTGTGCCGTATTCGTGTTGTACCAGTACAGTTTGTTAATCAGAAAGTTTTCTGCTACTAAGTCAAATACCTTGGAGAAGCCCATTATATCAAAGCTATAATCTTTATCAACTAAACTTGTAATCTCATCAAAAGATGATAACAAGGAAATTTCACAGGACCTATTTTCTATAAAGCCATGTTGATTGGCATTAATTATATCATCTACTTTTAATGATTTATTAATTGTGTTTCAGGTTGGACTTTCCATTTTTATTTATTTTTTCCTCGCAATCAATGTCAAGCTGACAGGCCTGTAATTAGCTGGGGCTCTTACTTTTATGTTTGTTTGAAATATTGGCACAATATTAGCTTTCTTCCCGTGTTAAGACATGCTGTCAGTGATTCAGAACTTACTGAAAAGTCCACCTTAACAGTTCAGTGAGTTGCTGGGTCAACTTTTCTGTAGCATTTGCATTCAAGTTATTTAAGTATATTGATATAAAACTACTGTACTATTGTCATAAGCAAGAGCTTATTAGGATTATTTTTGTTCTAAATATGCATAAATAATGTTTTTTTTTTTTCTAGTCTAGTCGGTGTGCAGCCACTGAAGCATTTCTGTGACCATTATCTTCCTCCTTTTAGATATTCCTATAGATTTAATCTGGCTATGAGCTATCATGAGTAGTTTTATTATAGCTATCTTCTTTCTCATTCTATTCATATTTTGAGTTTGTGTGTGTGTATAATTTGGTTTTGTTTTGTTTTTAACAAGAGTAAGGTTCCCTAACCTATTCTCGTGCTTTTTAGGGCTTAAAAATCACAGATTTTATCTAAGGTAGATATATTTCTTTTTAAGAAGTGATAACTTCTAATTCAAGCTTTTAAAATTAAAATTTCCAAGCATTTACCTGAGTGGTAAGCCTAGAAATCTACTTTAAAAATTGTCTTTAAGTGAAAGCTTGGAGTTGGATATTATCATCTGGCTATTTTTTACTGACTTATAGCTACCAATAAAATAGTAATACAAATAATATTTTTAATGATAATTAATTAATTCCCCACCTTAAAAGGTTATCATTAGGATTAAGAAAAAGATATTTATAAATATAATGTAATATCAATAACTGTAATAATCGGTATAAAATTATCCAAAACATTTTGCTGAGTCTTTCTTTAGTCTTCAGGGTAGCTGATATTTTCATCACAGATGAAGTATCAGCTATGTTTAGGCTAAGTATTTAAACACAGATTGTTGTGAGGATGAAATGGGGGAAAAAACACTCTATACAAAGCTAAATATGTCTTTTTACACAGGTCTTCTGCAGCTCTCTCTGGACACTTGTTAAGCTTTTTTCAGTGGTGGTGAAGGTGCTTACCACTATTTTTCTCATCTGAAATGAATGTTTGGTTATGGCCTGTTTCCTGATGATCTTCGGTGCAAACCACAGTTATGGGAGTTTAAACAAGAAGATTAAAGATGGATTGGGTGGAAAAGAGTCGATGAAAGGTCGAATACCCTCCATGTCCCCAGAGAAGATACCAGCTCACTGATTGAGATATAGAGATATATGGGAAGCCACAAGTCTTGCAGTGTTTGTCTTATTCCCATTTAAAAGCTTTACAGATAATTTAAATATCCACTGATAACTGTCAGACACTGGTGAGGAGCAATACATTTATTATTGATTGCACCTCATTTGGAAGTGCTCTTAAAGCAAATCCTATTTCTTTAGGATATAAAATCATCTCTCTTTTCCAAACTAGTAATTTTTCAATATTAAAAGATCATGACAGGCCAGCTAATTTTGTACAGATATGTATATATTTTTTAGTTCTACATCTGCTGCAGTTTTCTGTTGCATAATTGATTTAATCTCTAATTTTAAAGCAACGCTGAACTCTTTTACTGGACTCCGCATACATTTCTCCAGGGCAAAAACTGTCCTACTTTTTCCTCCCTAGTATCTGTTTAGTGCTGGGCCATTTTCTGCTGAAACTGTAAACTACCCTTGGAGAAATAAATGAAGTCACAGTTGGAATACAGTTTACTGTACCGACTTATCACCACAAGATAAGAACAAGATTGCACACACCAAAACTTTCTGAAGTTTGGGCTGTGGAGAGAAACAGTAGTTCAGAGATTGGGGAGGTGAAAACAAACCATCTGTTTTTCCACAGATTCCTTGTGTGACCTTGGTCAGACTCCTTTAGACTCCCCTTTTTGTGGGGGTCTCAATTTGGTTTCACACCCTCTTAATTTCTATGCTTGATGAAATATTTGCATTAACATCTCTGGAGAGTTGTTGCTGTTTTTTTTTTTAATTTTTCATTTTTGTTTGTTTGTTTTTTTCCCCTTATGGCAGGTTCTTTTCAGCATCCTCTAGAAAGAAGTTTAAAGCTACTGATCCTTCTTCGAGCATCTGACAGAATTTACTGTGATCGTCTGGAGGGAATAAATATCCACGCAGGAAGTATTGGTATATGAAACAAGAATTCACCTTTTTACAGGAGGACAATCTTATGCCACATCAACTGCTGTTGAGCTAGTTACTATGTCATGAGGAAAACATCTAACAAAGATGCACATAATTTTGGGGATGAAGCAGTCAAGTACTTTTACTATCTCAGTTTTACCAGGTCAAATCCTTGAGATTTTGTGAAGATATTTCAGGAAGAAGTTGGCAGAAGTGAATAAGAGTTCTTCTGAGTTAACAACTAGATGTCAAATCCTGAGGCTTGAAGAGAGGACTTGAAATGACTCAAATCTATGTACATGAGTTTGATCTTGAACTGTCCATGGTTAGGTTCTAGCTTTTAGATTTATAAAAAGTAGTTGTCATAGCAAAGGTATTCAACCTAAAATAATTTTGTCAAGTAGAGAGAAATACACACATCCAGAGGGTGTTTCATCTCACTTATTTTGATCCGTATCTCAGGATGAGACAAATTTCCCTCAGAGTTTCCAGCCTAAAACAATGAGCTTAAATTTAAATGACTCTAATTTTAGTTGCCTGATTTAAGTTAGACAATTTATATCCAAAAGTAACTGACTGGATCTGAATCCCCAAGGTTAAATACTCCCAAACTTTTCAACCTATATTGATTAGCAGCAGAACTGTTACATCTCCTTACAGATCATGATCAAAAGGCTAAGTTAAATCACACAAAAATTATTTTTCGTGGTTTAAAAAATGTTTTAAGCAAGCAAGCAACCTGTTTTATTACAAGACTTCTTTGGTGGACTTTTATGAAGGCACTGTAGAACTAAGCTAACTGGCTAACTGGCACTGGCTAACTAAGAAAGGAAATAGATTCTGTTTTGTTTATAAATTTTAATTTAATATTACTGTATAGACTAACTATACAGGATAGTATAACTATAAAGTATAACTATAACTAGCAATTTAGTTTCTTATGATTTCAGAGGCTAGAAAAGCAGATAGATGAGTTGCTGCATTTTAGCATATCATAAGTGAAATGAGACTTTTCAACTCTCCACATTCTCTTCTTAAACAACCACAAATGCAAGATCATTCAACTTATTTTAAACCTCTTTCGTTGTGGGATAATCTAACTCAGCTTGCCCACATTTGCCACAGAATGCAAGGATACCATTGACAGATACCATGCTGAATGGCTGC